TTATTTTTTATTATATTCAAATACAAAACAAAATAACCTAAAAACGTGTTTGACAGCTGTTAAAATTACTTTCATCTTTTAATTTTTAGGGTATAAGTTACTTAAAATCAATAAACATACCTTCTCAATTTAAATAAAGGCACTTAAAATTGGAATTTATTATACAAACACAATTAATTGTGTTCTAAATGATATTTAAACATACATATACAAATACAATACAAATTTTGAAACGAATGTCAAACGATGCTATCAATTTCTTTTTACACAGTAAATCTTATATACCAAATTCCAATAGGAAAATACATTTTACAAGTTTTTATGAGTGAGGGGGTGGTTTAGCAATAGAATAAAATTACTGGCCACAGTATATAGTTATAGTTATATTTAAGCTGTATAAACCTAAAGCCAGAATTGCATATATGGGGAATTCCACGTGAATTCGACACGAAAAAAACCCTTGCCATTTCGAAATCCCATGGAAATTTTTCCATAGGTTCCCTGATTCAAGATAAAAATTTAATTTTAATTTTGGCTCGGTTTTTCAATTGTTTTTGGAAATATCATTTTTTTAATTTTCATGATTATAAAGAATTTGCCAATATATCATCGATCATATTTTTGGTTCCAATTGATCGATTCCGACGAACGAAAAATAATTGTTCTTGTCTTGAAACAAACTATTTGAAATAAATATTTTTGATGCTGTGGCATATCGGCTCACTAGGATTTTTTTCTTCGAAAACTAAAAATCTATTTTCTACACTTTTGTATTTTTTTTAATTTTAATTTTTTTTTGTTTTTAATCTTTAAGAGAATACAAGTTTTTCTATCTATATTAGATCGTAGCTATCGAAAAATTAATAATTTTTTCGGAATTTTTAATTTTAATAATTTTAATTTTTTCCACTTTCGGAAATTTTGTAATATCAAACATGATTTTTTTATTTAATATTTCTATATTTAGCCCTTAAAATTGATTAAAAAAAATTATTATTAATAATAATTGTTTTAAGATTAAAAATCAATGAATTCATAGGCACTTTATTTTTTTAAACAATTTTAATAGTTAAAAGGGCTAAATAAAAAAAATCATTTTTTATATTACAAAATGTCCGAGACTGGTAAAAATCGAAATTATTAAAATTTAAAATTCCGAAAAAATATTAATTTTTCTATAGCCACGATCTAATATAAATAAAAAAACTTGTATTCGCTTAAACATTAAAAACAAAAAAAAAACAGTGTAGAAAATTGATTTTTAGTTTTCCAAGAAAAAAATCATAGTGTGCCACAGCATGAAAATGATTGGTCGTCGAAATCGCTCAATTGAAACCAAAGTTATGATCGATGACTTATTGGCAAAATCGTTATAATCATGAAAATTGACAAACCGTGCTAAAATTAAAATTGAATTTTTATTTTGAGTCAGGGAACCCATGGAAAAATTGCCAAATTTTCGAAATTGCAAGGTTTTTTTTTGTGTCGAATTCACGTGGAATTCCCCATATATTTATTATATCTTATCTTTAAGGGTGAGTCATTTTACTTGAAACTTTAAAATATCTCAGTAAATAGGAGGCATTTTACAAAAAATGTTTTGAATACAAACTAAATGATTCGAGGGGGAAATACATTAGTACCAAAATTATTTCCCACACTCTCATCCTTATAGGGAGGTCATGGGGTAACTTTAAAATTTCTAATGAAACATCCTGATTTGATCATTTTACTAAAAATAGGTAGATTTTGTCTAAAACATTTTTTCATATTTGTAAAAGATGGCGATGTAATAAAAAAAACAATTTTGTTCAAATTTTCTTCTGCATGTATACCTACGATTCTGCAATAATTTTTCTATAAAATACTTGTTGGTTGTTATTATTAATAACACACAATTTAGCTAAAAACAATTTTTATTTTTTAAATTTTTATTAAAGTAGGTGCTCAAAATGGTGGCCCTTCGACTTCAATGCATTTATTTCCGAGTCTGCACAAGTAAGTAGGGTGTCTGTTGGAATTTCCCCATGCCCTCCCTATAAGGATAAGAGTATGGGGAATAATTTTGATACTAATTTATCTATCCCCTGGAATAATTTAACTTTTATTTTAAACATTTTTTCGTAAAATGCCTGGTTACTGAGATATTTCAAAGTTTTAAGTTAAAAGATACCTTATTCTCAGTGCCGGTTTAACAGGGGTTTTTTGGGGACTATAGCACCGGGCAGTAAATATCGTTTCGATACAACGGATACAAATGAGAAAAATGTTGTTAGAGTTGAAGCAGCTTCTCTATCAGAAAAACTTGATTTATTGGAATGGAATAATTTTAACTTTTTGAATAGAGGTTTTGCAAAGGTTTAATGAAACCAATAAAGCAGTTCAAAAACAAAATATGCACAACTGCTCATCTTTTGTCATTTTTAGTTGAAAACTTTGATTTTTTACGTGATCGTTTTTTTTTTCATTACGAGGAAATTAACAGGAAACGAAAATTATGCTCAGAAGCGGATATTCATGATATGCATAAGAAAATTAGAATTTGAAGAAAATATTTCAGAGGCAAAAAAGAAACAATGCGAACAAAATGTATACGAGCCCTAACCACATAATGTTCGGACACTTCATAATTTATACAGAAATTTTTTTCGTGAATACTATCTCAAAATTATTAGAAGTTATGAAAAATTCAGCTTATTTTGGCATATACCCCTCGAAGCGATTTTTATTTTTAAAAAGTTTACCTTTTATTTTTAGCTTTTAAAAAAAGGCTAACTTTTTAACTTTTTTTTGTATGAGTAAAAAAAGTTATAAATGGACCCATTAAAAAGAGCATAAAATATTATACAAACCCTGAAAATTTGGTAAAAAATAAATAAGTTATAAAAAAGTATAAGTAATTTAAAAATGCTATTTTTAAAGAGTTTTTGCAATTTTCTTAGGAAACGGGAGATTTTGCAGATATATATATCGCTATAACTTTCTTATTATTTATACAATTTTTACCAAATTTTCAGGGTTTGTATAATATTTTATGTTCTTTTTAATGGGCCCATTTATAACTTTTTTTACTCATGCAAAAAAAAGTTAAAAAGTTAGCCTTTTTTTAAAAGCTAAAAATAAAAGGTAAACTTTTTAAAAATAAAAATCGCTTCGAGGGGTATATGCCAAAATAAGCTGAATTTTTCATAACTTGTAATAATTTTGAGATAGTATTCACGAAAAAAATTTCTGTATAAATTATGAAGTGTCCGAACATTATGTGGTTAGGGCTCGTAGTAGTAATTGACAATCTATAATCCGAAATCATTTGTCGATCTGATACCTACAAATCTGGCACAAAAAAAATTGAATTTTTGTTTAATCTTAAAGCATAAATCTTCGTGGAGGATTTGGATGAGTTTTTTTTTTCAAAAATGTGTCCATCTCAAGACACTGGTAACTTCCTTTTCGGAAATAAAAATAGAAACTCCATTGGAATTAATAAAAGTTTTATATGAAAATAAATTAATATCTTCATTTCCAAATATATAATATTTTTTTTCATAATGGTTTTAAATCAAGTGGTGAAGAACTACCTCAGAAATACAATTTCCAAAGAAATATTAAACTCCTTAGCAATTCTGTCCATTAAACAAGACCTGCTAGATGAATTAAATGTAAATAGTATTATAAAACAATTTGCAACTATAAAGACTTGAAAACAACCTTTTAATTATTAGTATTAGAATTTCTCAATATTTATTTAAACCAAAGAATAATGTTTTATTTATTTATAACTTTTGATTAGTTCTTATTAGTTAAATGACACAAAATATTAAACTTTTATTTTTTAATTAGTTTTTATTAGTACCATTGTTTATATAAACCAAAGAATGTTTTATTTTTTAGTTGGTGCTTTTGATTAGTTTTTTCAAATATTGTTTATTTAAATCAAAGAATAATATTTTTTATAATTTGTTTATAAAGGCTCATTTTATATTTTATAGGTACCGTAAATACGGGTGACTTTGCACCCCGCGGGTGACTTTAACCCATTTGAGGAGCGTTTATTCAAAAAGGGACATGTCCATTTTAGCGATTAGCAGAAACAAGTCAAAAATAACAGAATTATTTTGCTTTTGACTTATTTCTGAAAATCGCTAAAATGGACATGTCCCTTTTTGAATAAACGCTCCTCATTTATGAAAAATCTTTTCGCGCTCGATAAAATTAACATTTATAATTTGTTGGTCTAAACCTGTCAATTGAGCGATTCTATTGAGTTTATATTACAGGAAAATCAGTGTTTTAAAGAAAGAAATGGGATTTATTACACTTTAAAATTGTATATATCGTATCAGTGCAAAACTTTAGAAATACACGCATTACAATTTCTATATTATGAGCAATCCATTGGAATGATGATCCTTGGTTAACTACAGGTCGATTTTTTATTTTTTTTATTGGTAATCCCTTGCAATAGATATATGTCGCTGCTAACACGTGTCTAATAAAAATAAAATATAATATTACATTCATTTTATACTGAAAAAACACTGTGAGACAAAGTAACCCGCAACCAGGGGGTAACTTTGCACACCCAGTTTTTAATGTTTATTTTTAAAACTCAGCCCTATGTAATATTATAACATAGTTATTATGAAAGAACAACTCAAGACTCAAATTTTGGTATACAAAATTTAATGTTTATGATTGTTAAAACTACAAAAATTTTAAGCTGAAGTTTGAAAGTGAGCCAAAGCCACCCGTGTTTACGGTATACTAAGTTTACTGTTTAGGTTGGTATATTCCAATTGAAGTGAGGAAGTAAGACTTAAAAATTTAAAAATGTTTTTAAAAAAGTAATTTTTTAAAGCATTGGGCGTTGTGGTTGTGCCAGAACCGGGCGGCGAACTACCTTAAACCGGCACTGCTTATTCTAATAAATTTTAGTAAGTCAAAATATTTATGATGTTTTTTTTTATAATTAGGAAAAAATATTGTTTTACAAATTTTACCTGAATGGGACGTAGAGATGCTTATAGGTGTAGAGCAGGTGGGGCGTCTCGTCGGCCGTCTGTTGCCAGTAGAGATAGACGAACAGGAACACGCAGAGGAGGGTAGCAACCAGCAGGGCCCTTCTCAATTCTCCCTGTTTCATCCTTTCTCGCCTCTGTAACATAGTGGAGAGAGAACAAGGTGAATTCCCTGAATTATTTAGGCGCCTCAAAAGTTACGAATGCGTCGGATATTTTTGTCTAATAAATTTCTAATATTACTAAATATAGCTCTTTATAGCATATTTTAGAAAGGACCCCTCTTTTGTAAGTTTGTGTAAATAAACTAAACGACGATAGATACAATCACAATATTGTGCACACAACAAGGTCTGTTCGATCTCATAGTAGAAATACTAAAAATCACTGCACATCATACGATGGTGCCCATTTTTGTTGTTTACAATTCTTGTGCTTTGGGTTTGTACAGATTAATAATCGTTTTAAACGTTGTGTTTCTTACAGAGAGACTTGCAAGCCTTAAAAGAAACCTCAAAGTGGTAAGAACAATCATTTTACTCCTCTTTTGTAAAAAATAAACCTTATTCTATCAAATGTCAATTTGAAGCTTAATTTGTGGGTTATAAAATAACCTTAAATTGACCTTTAAATTGACATTTGACAGCCCTGGTGAGGTATAAAAAAATAAATTATATTAAAATAAGGAAACAAAAAATAGATTAATTAATTAATTAATTATTGGTTTAAAAATATTAATAAAATTAAACAAATATGCGGTAAAAAATACTAAACAATTAATAAAGTTTAGTTTGTTTAGAAAATCGAAATTTTAATTGTATTATATTCACTCAAAAAAATCACATCACCCTGATTTACAAATTAATACAAAAGAAATATACATTCGGTACAACTTTTTTTCTAATATTTTTTGGCAATGTTGTTAAGATATATTTTTTTTTCATTTGTTTTTTAAGGTAGTTTTATAATTTGGATCACACTGGTTTACATCCAAAACGTGTATTCGATGCTAAGATTCGATGTCAATATAGTCCGGTCAAATTAGACTAAAAAATAACAGTGAAGTTACATAAATTTACAACAAGCTGAAAATCAGTAAAATTGTTCAGAATATAATTATAAATAAAATTTTAAAGTTCCCCATCATTCCCCTGTATGGAAATTTTTTTATTCAAGGTCAAAGGTCAAAAAAATTAGTTTTTCGCGATTTTTATCAAAACGGTAAGTTTTATCATAAAAATACCCCAAACAAAATTGTAGATCATAAAATTATCTATAAAAAATGTATTAATACTTTTTTTCTACGAGCCACCGTTTCTGAGATATAACGATTCGAAAAGTTGTAAAAGTTGTAATCGTCATAATATGCACGCCACGTATCTCTAGAGTTGTAATATATGTTAAAATATTTTTCTATAGGTCATTTTAACTTACACTTAAAATCTGTCACCTGTCATCTGTCACCTGTCATCTGTCACCTGTCATCTGTCATCTGTCACCTGTCATCTGTCACCTGTCATTTGTCCCTGTCATATGCCACCTTATCAATTTGATTTCGAGGATTTTAATTGCAATTAATTATGGTTAACTTTTTTAAATACCCAACAAAAATTAAACGGGCTTCTGGCCGATTAGTTTTTATTCGATGAAGCTCATCTTTTTGGTTTTTTCCGTCGATTCGTATATTTCGTTTGGCCAATTTCGAAAATTTCTCTTGACCTAAAAATCGTTTGAAAATTTTTTGAAAAAAATAAAAAAGAACGCTGTTCGAAAAGTTGCCGGCGTATCCGGCCCGTTTGCAATATTTATTTTTTCCGTTGTCTGTATATCCTTTTTTCTAATCGCCGTAGCTCAGAGGCCGTTTTGAAGGTTGAAATTTGCATCCTTTTTTTCTGCCCACGAGACCTATCCGCGGACCAAATTTTTCCGGTGTCGAAAAGGTCCAAGTTCACTTTTTTTCGATTTTTCCGTCAAATTTGGCACGTTCCGTTGTCTTCGCTTAACTTCCGAACGAGCCGAGATTTTTCGTCCAAACTCGAGGAAAAGGGTCTTCGGGACAAGAAGTTATCGGCATTCGATTTCTTCTTTCTAAAACTACCTGCTTTGATAAGTATCGATATGCATGTTTCGTTAAAAATTCTAAAAGTAAAAAACAAGTTCAATTAGCTTGTCTTCTTCCAACCTCAGTTGCTGCTCATCAACATCTTTTTCGGGTATATTACCATGTTCAAGTTTGGCTTGGTTATCAGCTAGACCCTACAGACTAGGGTTGGAAGTTGGTCAACAACACATTAGAACCAGTTCAAACATTACTCCCACCTGCGCCGGAAAAACTGCTGAACACAATTTTTTGCAACTGCAAAAAGGGATGCAGTGCTAAATGTGGTTGCAAAAAAGTCGGACTGTTTTATTCTCTGGCATGTACGAATTGTCAAGGCCGGTCGTGCTCTAATGTTGAATCACCAACAGTGGAGGATTCATTTAATTCCAATTTACTTGAACCCAGGATGAAGATGAAGAAGAAGAACAACAAGGAGAAGAACAAGAAGAAGAAGAAGAAGATCAAGAAGAACAAGAAAAAGAATTTAAATGTTACGAATCAGACGAATAAACTTCAGTACTTTTTTTAAATTTACATCGCTATTATCTTTTCCAATCATTGCTAATTTCCGTTATTTTGCAATAGTTTCAAATTAAACAGGATCACAAGTGACCCGTGAAATAGGCCTACTGGGGAAACCACGTTTAAAAACGCGCTTAGTAAACTACCTCATAAGTGGCGTGGAAACGTGTGCATATTATGGCGATTATAACTTTTACAACTTTTCGAATCGTTATATCTCAGAAACGGTGGCTCGTAGAAAAAAAGTATTAATACATTTTTTATAGATTATTTTATGATCTACAATTTTTGTCTGGTGTATTTTTATGATAAAACTTACCGTTTTGCTGAAAATCGCGAAAAATAATTTTTTTGACCTTTGACCTTGAATAAAAAAATTTCCATACAGGGGAATGATGGGGAACTTTAAAATTTTATTAATAATTATATTCTGAATAATTTTACTGATTTTCAGCTTGTTGTAAATTTATGTACCTTCGAATGTCTAGATTGACCGGACTAATATTATTTTCCAATATATTTTGGCCTGCTAAACTCAAAAATAAAAATACAATTTTTAAAATTCTCCACTTGGAAACGACAAATCTGGTTGCAAAAGATGTTAAATTAAACATAATCGAATCGCCTACCATATCACTCTGTTAATGCCCAATCAGTTGAGTGGTTTAAATGCAATGGGCTCGAATATTAAAAAAAAATACTGTTTTTGGGAAAAAATAAGAATGCAAAATGTAATTAGCGAATGGTAAAAACCAAAAATACTTTTAGGTTAAAGATTTAATAAAGGGAGCGCTAGTCTCTAAGCACAAGTGTATTGAAAAAAAATCGGGTATGTTAAGGGCTATCAACACAACAATCTATTTTCTAAGAAACACAAACAAATGCCAAAATTTTGGTCGTTGTGTTTGTTTTACATTTGAATAATACGCTAGAGAAGAATCGCCATTTGGTGGCGCTTGATAACATTATAGAACTACAAAGTTTGTCAACAATACATTTAAAGCATACAAACTATGCAGTTCTTTTTACAATAAATAAGTAGTTTTTTTTTAAAAGAGAGGAAGGCAGAAGTCTTACTCGACAAATTTTGTTCCAAGGTTTCAATTGCACAGTTAAATCGCGCATTTGTGTTTCGCGTTGCCAGTAACAACTAAAAAACTTAGTAGGTTAGGTTAGGTTAGGTTAGGTTTAGTACTCGATTTCGATTTATTATTCATTATATCATTGATTAAGAAACGCAACGCTTATATGCTTAAATAGTTGCGTTAGTGTGTATATTTTATCTAAGTGATCATGGTGATTAATGTTTTTTTTTAATTGTAAATGTAATGTTTTGCCATAGGATCCAATTTGGTACATATATTTGTTGGTGCAAAATTAAGAAATGAGAACTTTAACTAAAATAATATTTATTTTAATTTTGACATTTTTAAGAAATGTAACAAGAAAAAATAGTTGTACAAACATAACCTTAAAATATTTTTTTTTTATTTTTAAGTCCTCTAAAAAAAACACCGACAACTGCATTTTAAAATGGTAAACATTTACTTGTAAAAATATTTATTCCCAATTTTTCGAGGAAAAGTAATTTTCATTTGCTTGTTATATAAATATAGTCCAGTCATCTTAGCATTTCACCTCGGAATCTAACGGAATAAGCTGAATTTTTGTACAAACCTTTATTTTAGCATTGCAAATGTTGTCTCAAAAGTCACATATGAAAACGTGTGAGCGGCCTTAGATATTCAAGGTCAAAGGTCGCAAAAATCAATTTTTTGAGAATATCTCCTTACCTCTGCCTCCTATCGTATTTGCATTTATTATACAAGTTGTAGAGAATAAAATTCTCTAGAAATTTTGTTTAAATAATTTTTTTATACGTCTAATCGTTTTTGAGATAGAGGGCGCAGAGTGTGGAGCGCTCAGCCATACGTACCTTTAGCGCAAGGTAAATCATGAATCCCAATCTATTATACCGTTTTTTAAATTAATTATTTATTAAATATTACTTAAATAACAATTTAAAACCTTATATTTATTTTTATATATTTTTTTAAAACAGATAGTCATTAAATATTACTTTTGACATACAAATAATTAAATAATGAAGTGAATCATTCTAAATATATTCTAATGTTATTCTAATTAATGATAAATGCATTTTAAGAAGAAAAGACATTAAATAAATTTGCCTTGAATATGTCTCTGGTCATCTCTTGGATCCAGATATTGCTTTTAAAATAACAGACCTGGAAATACTATAGCGGGCTTGCTATAAATAAAAATGTTAGGTATACCTATATTTAAAGCAAGTTGTGACCCTAGGTATAGGTCTAGGGTTGTGACAGATAATATTCGTAATATTTTAAAGGTTAACATGGCTGATTTGGGTTTTATTTGTAATAAGTTAGGTACTTTCTGAAGGTGATTCTGTGACTTTTGTGCGCGGTATAAAGACTTTAAAAGAAGCAATTATTGAGAGAAATAAACATAAACTACCTAAATACTTTGACT